ACAAACTCACGTTAAAGATACTGTTATGGTGCTGCCAGTCACATAGGTAGACAGGACGATTCTTGTCCTCTACGTGCTCAGCAACAGCAGCTGACACCAGAGAAATTTCTACGGGAGCAACTCTACGAGAAGCGGCACGGTGTTGTGGTACCTGGGTCACCTCTAGCCCTCCCTCAGCCCCGGCAAGCTCTGAGCCAGTAGCATCCACAAGCCTTCCAACGAACTCCCCTTTGATGTGATCGAGGGTCTGGTCGAACGAAATCCCTGATTCTCCGCCTCCGTTTGATCTGATGATGCTCTCGATCAATTCAGGAGGAATGGGAATCAGCCCGCGAACTATGGATCCTGCCTCACGACGCACAGCACATGCTTTACAAGGAGAATGATCTGGCCTTGCAAAGACTGCAATGGTACCTACGAGCTGCGGACTCGAATGAGCATTCCCTTTATGGTGAAGCTGGAATGAGTAGGAGCGGTTGTATGCATGCTCCAGAAGTTTCACATGCACACCAAATGTGCGGTAGTGAGGAATAACGGTATGATCACTTGGCACGGCAGGATCTTCCTTGTTTGGAACAGGTAAGTGCTTCCAAGCTTGCGAGGTCACCTGTTTCGCCTTAGTTTGCGGATCAAAATCATAGTAAGCTTGCACCCTTTTGCGCGCCGAGGCACGCTCTTGGGATGACACGGCTGCTTGATCGACCTTAATTCCCTCAAACTCGGGAAACGAGTAATCTGTCCAACGTAAACTTATGTCATCCAATAGATAAGATCACTACATACACTTGGGGTAGCTTTGTTCGTGCAAAAATCGGGTCTGAGAAGAGGACCAGTAGTCTCTTTGTTCCGTTCGGAATGGTTGGAGCGCCCCGTCTGGAAGGAGTTGTTCGTTGTAAACTTGCGCATACGTGCCACGTGCCTAAAAGACAACTATTGAGTATCTGTGTTAGAACATCGTCCAATCCATACCTGGGTCCAAGGGTATTGCTCCCCATCCTGTTCATATCCGCTTCCCATCCAGTATTCGGCGTAGCACCACTCCCACAGAGCGACTTAAAGAGATTCAATGACAAGATAACACCCTTGAACGAAATCGTACATAGCCTGTCCACATTCGAATGGTGAACTGAAGGAAACCACGTAAGTAATGCAGACGGGTAATTTGCACTTGTTCACGTACGGAAAAAGATAGGATCAAAACCGGCCTATGTGAACGTGAGCGCCAAAATCGTTGCAGAGGGTCAGAAGGAATTACTCACGTAGTCTGGGTAAGCCTGCAAATTTGGTTCATATAGATCAACAAGCTTCATTCGCACGCAAGCAACTAACCATTTGTCCATTCCCGCCCTAACTCATCGCTGGAGTAAGCATACTTTAAAGTTGGAGCAAGTGTATTCCACCCACAAGTAATATATGAACAGTGTCGTGCACGCCTTCAAGCGACCCACGGTTGATGAAGTCTATATCTCTCTTCGATTCTGCAGTATGATTGGAGAAGTCATCCCAACTTTTAGCATATTCGTCAATACATACATAATACTAGCAGAAATTAAAACATACGCTATCGCAGAATTTTCATCATCATTGAACGTGAAGAGTTGAGCGACTCTGCGTCTCAGATCGTTTGCCCCGGCTTTGAATGTCCTTGCGAATGCAAAATCAGCACCAGTCTCGCGCAACATGTTCCCATGGATTCTCACTTCTGCAACAAGTCTGTATGACTGCCTTCAGGGTCCGGGGTACTAGAAGCGTAGCGGTATGTCCTCTGCCACTTGGAGAAATACGCTACTTGTCCTGTCTACAGACTACATGTGAGCATGTTCAGTGATCTGGGAAAGAAAAGGCAACATTACCGAATCATCCTTCTCATCGCTAAAGTCGGATGGGACTCCACCGACATACGAGAAATACGAGAGTGGATTATGGACGATTTGTTTTTTACCACCAACAGCCATAATTTCGACTTTTTCTTCGTACAGAACAGGAGGAAGGCCATTCTCCGGTACATCCTTACCGGCCCAGTCCCAGTATCTGCGCGTAATATAGATGGCTGTATCAGTGTCAGGAATGATTTATCACGCACGGAAAACGTAGTTCCTTTGCAGCTTTGATCCATACTCCATTTTCATCCGGGTTATTAGCTTCAATGTCTTGGGCCAATTTTTCAGCAATGTTTCCGATCGATTGCTATAGAACTGAATTGAATAGTGCGTCAGGCATGATCGTGTACTGAACATACCTCAATAAGCATAACATATGGGCGGTGCCAGGTGGGAAACACAACAGCGCCATGGCTGAGAAAAGGTTTTAAATCAACAGAGCGAGAGGAGGTATATCAACTTACTTGCAGTAACCTGTCACACAATATTGTCAGGCTATAGAGAACAACGGCGGAAACGATGGTCATACCTCCAAATCTGGAAGGAACGGGATTGGTATCTTTCTTGTCATTGGCGCTATAGTCAGCTGAAATATCCTTGTTGCGGTCACCAGCCCATTCAACATAGGGCCTGCCGTGAATTGACGCAATTTCCATGAAGGTGGCTGCAGGCTCTTCTACAACTTGGGGAGCATCGGAACGCTGCTGGATCGCATTGAAAGAAAGGATAAACAATGCAAATTGGTAGGGATGGTCCTTCTCCAGCGTCTGGATAGGCAAGCGATCAAATATGCCTCCAGTGCCCTTGCGGCCGATCACGGGATAGTGGTATTCAACAGAGCTCATTGTTGGAGTAGGTCAGGGAGCGGTAACAAATCAGGTTTGACCAGCTGCATTTATATACATACAACAGGCGCGCAGACAAAGCCGCCTTGCGCGGAGCTAATCGGCGACTCTCATAGGTGACTGATTAGTACAGTTGATGCGGAGACTTGCGTAGGCACTGGAAGACAGATGATGTGGTAATTGATAGAGAATGGAGTGGAACATACCGGTCGGATCTGCTGCGCAGCGCCCATAGGATCGAATTTGAATAGCATGTTCTGCATGTGGATTGGAGCGATGATCTAATCTATATGGAGGACAATGGATGTCGCGGCTGATAGACCCCTCCGACCCAAAAACCTGTGTAATAATCACACAATGAAATAGAGGAATGAAGGTCTCTTATTAGGGCAGTCTGCATGCTGTAGACCAAAAGTGTGACACCTGCATGACATCAAGACAATGATGTGATGGCCTTGATCTTGGGCATAACGTCAGAAGGGCATTAAATGCCGTGGTGGACGCTGTCCCTCAACAGCCCAGCTGCCATCATGCCGGCGATGTCTCATCTACGTAAGTCTGTCCGCATACCCCTAGTACTGGTTAGTGTGCAAATAAACGCAAGCTCGAAACACACGATAGAAGATCAGATCATACTGGAACGAACTAATTTCGAAAGATTAATAAGAAAGTTCTTTTTCAATCAGCGATGTGGCCGATTTGAATAATAGTCATCGGTATTAGATGTTTGCCGGAAGGCAGATGACTGAACGCCGTCTGTCGAAGGTAGAACATTGTTTGCAATCAAATAGCCAAAGTAACATAACAGGACCTTGAACAAAAACAGTGATCGAGGGCAAGGCTTGGTCGACTCAAACAGGAGTCAATGATAGCGGTGGACCTTCAGGGTTGAGAATGTACTGATTATTCAAGAGACCGGACGGCTCCGAGCTGTCGGTCCATTGGTGAACTGGTGAGGAACTAGCCTAGCCAGGCCAGACTTCGATAGGTGATGACTGTCCAGGAACGCAATCACTGTGGACATGCAGACACCACCCTTGCTTGTAAAACAAAGTCAAGTACCACACGCCTGAAGAATATCGAACACGAATGATAATGTGACACTAACCGGTGAGGCGAGGTTCCGCATACAGAACCTCACCAGGACAATTCATCAGCCAAGTGAAGACATAGCAGATCGCACCGGCACATGAATGATACTCGGGTCCCGTGGAGATGTTGCATTAGATGAATCAGGTTGGTCGCACAGACGTACGCGGCGCTATGGTGCTTGCAAGTCTCGAGTCGAAGAATGATGAATCATGTTGATTGCGATGCAGATGCTAACTACCCGTGGGCGTTGAGTCTCAGATACTACATGTGGATAGTGAGAATTTCGCGAGCTCATCGAGGAAAGAAAATGGTGGCTTACTGTAAGTGGGACGTTTACCGGACCAACTATCTGCAAAACGGAACAATCAATGAAATGGATGATCTCTCCTACTAGTAAATAGCCCTTTATCGATATCATCAGACGAAGGAGGGTGGTCATTTCTTCTAATACTCGGCGATGATTCGATGGACGACATCAGCGAACGTATGAGTCCTTGAAATTGTACCCGTCGCAGCTGTAGGATGATGTAATTCTGCTCCTACCGAATATGACTATGTATACCACGAGAAATTTGACTTGATCATACTTAGCCATGGATGGTCACCAACATAGACTTGCTAGATGAGACCGTGACAAAATCGTAACAAGCGGCCTTCGCAGCCAGCAATGGGCGGAAGCTCACTAGCGTTGACGTCGCTGATCTTTCTCAGTTCCTATCAAATATTGCTTTGATTTTAATGTTATCTAAGACTTTCTGCAGGACAACGGCTTTAGCCCTCGACAACAAATAGAGATTGGCTTGACGCTTAGTAACAAAATTGTAACACGCTATCTTCGTAACGAGTAAGGGACGGAAGCTCACTAGCGTTGATGTCACTGATTGTTCTCAGTTCCCATCAAATATTGGCTCGATTATAATGTTATCGAAGACTTTTCGCAAGACAACGGCTTTATGCTTCCGAGTTCGCTCGTCGACGTTTTACCCGCAGCAACGCAGATATACTGTGGCTGTGACACTTCTTATTGCGTAGATACGCGTCGGTATCTGCGCTTTCCGTAGCTGCGAAAACGATGCGCATCAACGCTGGTGTATGCTTTTCAATGCATTGACTACTGGATAGAATTCCGTAGATTTGAATATAACTGTGTATCCCTTTGATATTTTGCTGGCTTCGACGCAAATATACGGAAATCGATGCATTGCAACATGACATACAATACAAAACATGGGAATAAAATCTACCCGCGCTCATTCGCGCTAGCTCCTCCCTCTAGGATTGTCCTACCCCGGTGCCCGGCTAATGAAACGTGCCGCTAGAGAACTTTGCAGGGACTTTGACCGTATTTGCGGACGACATGCGGTCAGTAACCTAGATGGAATACACAAATGAGCATACATTAATAGGAATAGGATGAGTACTTACCAGATTCGAAGCTTCAATGTCATAGTTCTGTAACAATAAGAATAGAGCACGATGAAATGAATGAAAATGATACCGCTTGACAGCATTCGTGGTATTTATTGGTGCCCGAACCATAACGAGCAGAAGTCCTCTTGATCCAAAACCTAGGCTGATAACAGATCAGTGAATCAGAGTAGCAGTACTGAAAACGAATGTACTGGTGTGGCACGAGACATGTCAGGTACTAGAAGATTGAGTTGAATGACTCGGAGTGGTTATATGCGCCCTGTTTCGAACGTTTTCATCTAGTATTGACACGACCAAGGCAAAAAAACTCACATCATTTGAGTCGTCGTGATGAGGAAGAAAGGTATGAGAGAATTCAAGGTAGGCGGGCGACGAGTAAGTCAGTCGACAATAGTAATAATGCACTGATGATGGTGAGAGGAGAGTTCATTAAAACTCCGAGTCGCAGGCAAGTGGACTTTTGAAGTTGGTTCGAGTGTGGCGAAGTACGAAATACTTGAGCAATAAGATATATATTACGCACGGACCTTCAATTGAACATGTTGACAGTTGAATTGCACAAGCTTGGATTCTTGCAGTATTGAGCATGCGCTGTAAGGCTGCTCAATTGCAAATCAGATTGTTTGACTTAGATTTCCGTCGATGAGTCTAGACACTCTACTGACTACCCGGAACTTACAAATCCGTCGACCTCCGTGGAAATGGCCCATGATGTCGGACTTTCACTGGGGTTCAGTATTAGAGACACAGGATCGAAAACACGTGCATGACTTGAAGCTTGAAGAGAGACTGTCATGGTGATGGTAAACGTTTGGCTACCGATACGTCAGATGTTAAATTCTATGACATACTAGGCGTCTATCTGGCAAGCATGCCAGTTCTCCACAACACTGCGACATATCACAATCACTCAAGGGAACGAAAGCTACTCCAGATGTGCTGGTTTCGTTGAACTACTGGTACAAAAATGCTTACATGATGATTAGTACGGGCAGACGACGTGCTTTGCAATTAATATGTCAAGCGCTCCCTGCTGCGCCAGGCTCATATTGTCGAAGCGCTTCTCCAAACCTGTGTGATATGCCTGCCAGTCATCCACAACAAAATCGCTGGCAGTAAAGATGCCACTGGAGCGCTCCCCCAGCGCCCACCGGAATATAGTGCCTGTCATCAAGAACAGCGGTCGCAACTTGTCGCGGGTCATGGGGACGCCTTTCCCGAGGTATCGATCGTACCCGAATTTGCTGTCGTAGGTGATGTACATGATAAACTGCAAAACGGGGGTGCTGCCGAATGGGACGGTGACGAAGTCCCCATTAATCTAAAGACACTGCGCGTCAGTTTGATTTCAGACGGGAAACACATCACTCACGTTAACGGTAACATCGAGGAACTTCTCATCGGTGATGAGGTCAATGGTTTGATGCGCACGGACTTCAACGGCCGTGAGGATCTCCGTCGCCAAAACGGCGCCGCCCAAATCGTACTTGAAATATACGAAATGTCGTCCTACTTCTTTCAAATCGTTACGCATACTTTCAACTAAATTGACGAGCTTCTTTTCTCCGGCAGCAGCAGCGTTTCTTGCGAGATCCCGGAATTCAACTGATTTGAACGGAACATTGTGAGCACGACTGTCCGGCGGCAGTTCAAGAAGATACTCACCTGGTTGGCTCTCGACGGTAGTGGTCCATGCAGTCGTCGCCTTGGCGGCGATGTCATCTTTTGCGGGAAACAAGGACGACCGTAAGAGTAGTGATTTCATCGTGTCTTTCGCCTGCGACGCGACTGACGTGGTGTTGAACGGTACTACACTAAGAGTCGGTTGCACGGGCGTCGTTGTGAGAAGCTGAGTGTTGAGTTGCCTTGCGGCTTCTCCCCTTTCTATTCCTGTCCGTCTGGACATACGCGAGGTCCTTGAGCGAGTTGTCCCGCTGGATCGTGCCCTGCGGAGGCGAACAGACATGAGGGGAGCGTGAGATTGACGTATTTCGTCATCGACGATATCCGATGGAGGTGGTAAGTAGATGGTACCGAGCGGTGCGTGGGGTTGGGCCGAGTCCGCGTTGGCTGTCTCAGGAGTTCTAGCGGGTAAGTGATGGTTGAGTAAGGTGGCGCTGGACGATGGCACGGGAAGTTGAGACAAGTTCGGCGATCCGTGACTGGAATCAACGGGATCATGGTGATCAGAGAATGTGGGGTGCCATGCCTCAAGGAAAGCTCCTGGAGTAAGATCGTCTTCATGAGACTCCCATGCCTCAGCGAATGCAGGCGGGATCTTGGATTCATGAACGTGAAGGTAAGGAGGGGGATATGGGATGGGAGAGTATAGTATGCCCTGACCTGAGGCCTGATAGTGCTGATCAGGGAGGTTGGGGGGAAATTGGCCAGAGGAAAACCAAGGTTCTCGTGATGAAAATCAAGAGTGTCGTTAGTGGTTGGGGATGCTTCCTGGTCGCGATAGGCGGCCAATGTCGAGTCCCAAGGTTGGACATCAGTGAACATGCTGATAGATGCGAAGAAAACAAGTGAAAACTCACCTTGGACCCATGGCACGACGTGGGCACGTGCAATTAATCACTGAATCCTTCCAAGTCGATCTTTCTGCGTGCGGCAGGAAGCAGGACCGTTTAACCGCGCAACCGTACATCACGTGATCGTGAGTTCTGGCTGCCTTCCAAGTGTCCATTTGCTTGTCGTCGAGCTGGGAGCGTATGATAACGTCGATGAAAGTAACGAGGAGTATTGGCTCATTGACGACGCAGTCATGGTTTCCTTCAACGACGACACCTAAGCATGGGATGTTGGACACAGCCATAGATGATGAAGGTACAAGTACAACAGAAGAAGCTTAGTAATACGTAGAATAATGAGTAATGTAGGGAATGACTAATCACCGGTAATGTCCGAGACGGACATTATTTGTCATCGACTCGCGGACTATAGACAAGTCCGCGATTACATATACACGGTCCGGGTACTTACATTTAGCGTACCTTATTATATATACTGTAGCATTATTTCAAGTAGAAATTCAGTCAATTTAATTATCTCAAAGTTTTCATTAAATCTACACTAAAGTTTACATGGGGGGCATTTCCAAGGCAAACGGAGGATGCATAAGTATGTAACACATTACGGTGTCGAGCGTGAGCACGACAGTGCCTCACTTTTTTGTCTCACGAGTAATCGACTGACGTGATGTGTCGTAACTGACTGGAAGACTCGAAATCGAATTACTGAGACGACAGGCAGCGTATATTAATAGAATAATACAACAGGGTAAATGATATCGTTTGCAACTTACATTGCTGTAAAATGAGATAAAAATCTGAATGGTCCTAATATACACCAAAATCCACGCACTGTGTTGAAGCACAGCTTTTGCCCGTTCTCTCCTTCGGACATCATCCAGAATTCCCATAACGTGTCTGTCTAGCATGTCGACGTACGGCTTGAGACTTGTATGCTCCCAGTCTGAATCAAAATGTAAGTGAAAACAACGGGCACAGTGACAAGCGGTGCACTCACTTGCACCCTCGCCTGCCTTGTCAAGCTCTTGAAGGAGCTGCATAACTGTGGGAACTGCATTGGGGTCGAAATTTTCCATGCGGTTCGGGTCAACGGGGACGCAGACACAGAATGGTACTTTGAGAAGATGGTTTCGGTGCTTGGATACTTCGGCATCTAGGCGTGGATTGCAGAATGATGTCCTCAAGAGTGGCTAGATTTCGGGCCTATGAAGCGTCAGTAATAGCATAGATAGTAAAAGTGAAGTGTATACAACATTACCCTGCCTTCAGCTCGTTCCATTTCTTCGACGATTCGATACCGGGTTATTTCTCCCATCGCTCCTCGAGAGTCTCGACAATTTTCTTGTCCGGAACCAGTTTAAGCAGCGTTCGCCAGCCGTCCTTGGATAGGAAGCATTCTTGATTATCCAACAATTGATACCACATCCTACTCCCTTCATCGCGTGCATGTCACAGAGGAGGTGGCAAATCTCCGGGGTGGCTCTTCGTGCCACGCCTCTTACATTCACCTTCTTCGCCATCTCCTTACCTCCTTCTATCACAGTAAGCGCCCCAACCACAGCTCTACATAGTTCGTCGGTCAGCCCCATGGCCTAGTCATCACTGACCCACAAATAGATGCCGCGACGGCCCGAGTATACCCATAACAAATGATGATATCCAAATTGCGTGCGCAAGGCTGAGTCAAGGACGCGCACGGCATTGGCGATGAATGCCCAGCAGCGTTACATATTCCTGCTGATGTGCAGCATGTGCGCATGCCGTCATAATCAGTCATATCGATATCGAACACCAGCTCGCACTTTAACGGGGTGAAGAGCTTCCCAGACTTTACAGACCGCGCCAATTTCCGCTCGCTTGGTTGGCATGTTGTCAGCGTAAGTGCCAGGCAGATTGAAAGATAGCTCACCCGAGATGAGTACATGGGCCCGATCTCGAAACGCGTCGGATTGAGTGCGCCCAGATGCAAAAAGATTGTTGCTGTACTCTTTG